CTCATTAAACCACACATCCAACATGGCAAGAGTGAGGAATTCTAGAGCTCCAAAATAAAACAATTTTAGAGCTATAAAAAAAAAAAAAAAAAAAAGCACTGTTCTATGTGTCACTCAAATAGGTATGCTTTTACCTTTGGATTTGGAATACCAATTCAGCAATTAATATCTCTCTACAACATTACCAATAAAATTCAACTACATAGCAACCACAAATTCTATGTGTCAAAATAGAACAATTCTATGAGTTCCAAAATGTGTCACATGGCGAACAAACCACATGGGTATTCAGCTTTATGTATATATATGAAATGAAAAAACATGGCTAATAGGCAGTAACCCTCCTAGTGTACAATAAATATCACACACGAGCACTTTGTTTTTCTAATCATCTCACGCACCCAAACACATATTGTGAAATATCAATAATAATTGTTAACGCTATTATTCGAGTTGACGATAGAGTTGGTCAAGGACTGGTCCCAAGTAGGCCTGGGCCTGGGCCCGTTTGGGACTGGTCCCATTTGGGATGAGTCGCTCATGGGCCTAGGACCGGTCCCAGGCCCATGAGCAATTTCAGGGCCCGAACCTATGGGCCTGCAAAATTTTATTTTCCCCCTTATTTTTTTTTTTTTTTTTATATTTTAGGGGCAAAATGAAATTTTGTAGGGGGTTTAGTAATTTTCACGGGTAGACTAGTAAGTTTTAAAAAGTTTAATTAATTTTAAAAAATAATTAATTAATTAATTAATTAATGGTTAATTTTAATATAAATGTAATATTCACACAATCACACATTCACGCTTCACAAATAAACAATTAAATATTTTTTTTATTAAATTATTCATCTTCATCATCAACAATATTTAAATCATTAAAATCTGTGTTCCTAAAGAGTTCGAGTAGTTCGAGATTTTTAGGGTGTTGTTGTAGTCTTCTCTCTGCATGAGTCCAATCCCGTAAACACGTTATCACTTCGATCATCTCATCAGTTAAAGAGCATCTTCTGTCTTCAACAATCTGGTCACTCGTTGAAAATACTGACTTGGATGCAATTGTAGAAATCGGCACAGACAAAATATCACGTGTCATTTGGACTACAATGGGGAATTGACTTTGATATTGGTTCCACTATTGAAGCAAATCCATCTCATGTTTCTCCTTCATCGTCATGTAGGATAGGTCCATTTGTAGGTAGTGATTTAGCTCATTTGGTCCATGTATGTATGAGTTGGAGCTGCTACTTCTGCCATGTTCCATATACATCCATATGCTTGATCTTTGATGGAGGTTTTCATCAGGGTCCTGATCGTCTCTCCTGAACGTTCCACTTCCACTTTCATTGTACTTCTTCTGATATAAAGAAAAAAAGCTTTTCAATTTTTGCTTAAAGTAGGTCAAATAAGACGTATAATCATGTCCTAAATATTGGCATATCTCAGTAATTATACAGTTAACTACATATAATTTAAACTTAGGATCTACAACAAGGCCTAATCCATATAAGAATGGAATATCTAACCAATATTTCTCGTATTTTTCTTCCATCTTTAAAACAATTTCCATTAAAACATCATTATATCTATATTTAGCAAAAGTTTTAGAAATTTAAAGTAAAATATCTAATGTTAAATTAGTAGTCGGATAATAAATACCACTTAATATATTAGTGGAATCATAAAAAAATTTAGGAAATGAATAAAAAGTTCACAAACTGCCCAATCATCATAGTTGACAACTTCCTCTGGATGGTTTTTCTGGTTGACGAAATCTGTAATCTGTCTTGCGGTTGGCAATTTTTCCAACATCAAGCAGGCGGAGTTCCAACGGATAGGCATGTCTGTACATAACTTCAAAAGTCGAACCGGTGGGTCCTCTTGCCTACAATATTTGACATACTTCTACCATCTTTTATTGCTACCGTCGATGACAAATCTGATAGCCACGTGTACCCTCTTCATCTTCGAATGTATAGTATCTAAACCTGCTTTAACAATCAAATTGATGATGTGGCAAGCACATATCTGGTGAAAAAATGTGTCTTCATCATGCGGATCCAATCTCTTTTCAAATAAAGAGATTGTCGCGGTGTTAGCAACTGCATTATCAAACATTAGCACTATAACTCTATCAGTTAATACGTATTCTTGCAAAACTTCAAGAATTGTAAAATAAATAGTGTCAGCACTATGTTTTTCATATAATGGTTTAAAACCCATCATTTTTTTGTTGTAAACCCCAACTGTGATCTAAGAAATGCATTGTGACAATTAAAAAATCTGTTTTTGATCTACAAGCCCATATGTCTGATGTAAGTGCAATAGATATATTCCAAAAAATTTGAAATTCGTTTTTAAGTTAATTATTTATTTTGTTATAAAGTTTTAGTGTATCTCTTTTACTTGTACTTCTACTAACAAGGGTATATGTTGGACAAAATGCAGTTTTAATCATGTGAATAAAATAAAGATTTTTAGATAAACAAATGGGAGAGTCCATAGCAACTATGAATCTTGCTATTTCCTCTCGTGCAACATGTGCATTGTATTGTCATGGTGAGAGAGTTGAGGATTGTGGATTAAAATTAAGTTCAGTTTGAATTTGCCTACCTGATCTGGTTGACGATGTACCAGACAACTGCATTATTTAGGGGTGCTTCTTCTCCAAGTGTCTTTGCATCGTCGAAGTCCCCTTCTCAGCGCCAATAATGGTTCCACAAAAATGACATACCCCACACTATTCTTCCCCTTCCCCATTTGTCTTTGGTCATTTTGATTTGGTGAAATGTCGTTATACATCGGACACGACCCTCTTTGACGATCGAGGGGGTTAGGCCATGCCCGTGCCCATTAAGTCGCAGCTCGCTTGTATTTGGTTGCACCTCGTCCCGGCCGAATGTGGTTGTTAAATTACAGTTGTTGCCTCTGAAGGAAATGGTGAAAATGGATTGAACCTTTCTATTTCTTCGGTGGATGGAATGCAAAACTCATTTGTGGATGATCCTCCGAATGCATCATTTCGGGAATCCATTATGAATTTATGATAAAATAATAAATAATTAAAATGAAAATGAAAAAAATTAAATAATAATATGAATAAGAGATGATATTGAAAAATAGAAAAAAAATGAATAATATATATAAATAAATAAATTATAAATATAAATATAAATTGGATGAGAATTTGATTGGAGTAGAGAGATTGAGAGAATGAGACATTGAGTGTAGCATTGAGAAATTTAGGGGATATTTATAGTGTAGCATTGAGGGGAAATGAAAAAAAAAAAAAAAAAAAGGGTTATTAAATGGCATGTAATTTTTTTTTTCTTAAATTTTGTAAAAATAAATTTAACCCACTACAATTTTTGTTTATTTCAAAATTTATAGGGTATTTTATGTAATTATTTAAAGGCTAAAACAAATAAACCAAAAGGGTTTGGGCCCAAGCCTTGGAGGGCCTAGTAGAGGGACCGAGCCCTTCTCCTTAGGTCTGGTCTGGTTTTGGGACCAAACCTGCTAGGACCAGATTTTTGTATCCAGTCCCAAATACCCCACTCTAGTTGACGATATTAATCTCCTAAACTACCATAAAATAACAAAAATTTAATTAAAATTTTAACAGTTGAATTTTAGATACCAAAATAAAAGGTTAAAAAGTAAAAAATAATTTAGTAATATTTACTAACGGTTTATAAAAAAAAAAAAAAAAAATCATTAACAAAAGATAATAATTTTTGTTATTTTGAAAAACTTAAAATATAATTCTCTGTTTTCTTAGTTCTTAGTTTTAAGTTATTAAATGCTCGAATAAAACATAAGAGAATGATTTTATAATATTTATTAAATTATAATAGTGTAAATATTTTACGATTTAATAATAGGGTAAATATTTAGTAAATCATAATAATATAAATAGTATCCATTCATTACCGATAATTTCTGGATTGTTGCTTTTGTTATGGGTTTATGTCCATTTTAACTATTATTATTTCATTATTCTTGAAGGGGAGAACGACCTTTCCCCGCCCAAGGTTTGGCGGAATGACACTTTCCCACCCTCTAAGTTTCAAAAAGACAATTTTCCACCGACCATCCTTTAATTTAACTGAAGAAAGATAAAATGATAAATTCAAAAAACAATTAAAGGGCTATTATGTTATTTTATCCCCTGTATATAAACTTAAAGGAAAAACAAAAACCCTAAATTCAAACCCTTCTTCCCCAAAATCCTTCAAACCCAAAACCCATTGGCGATAGTAGATGGTTGAATCCGATCAAACGAGATCTCAAAGTTTACAGCTAGAAAACTTAAAGATCACGCCACCTCCACTCGTGCTAGAAGTTGTGGCGGATGTTATTGTTGTTGTTGTAGAGGTTGTAAATATTGCGTTTGAAGCGTAGCGATGGTGGTTGATTTTGTGGAGGCTGTGTCATTATAGTGGAGGATTTTGGGGCAGCGATGACAAAGGTTGGGGCACCAAAAGAAAAGGGGGAGGAGAATTTTGGGGCGGTGTGCTCCAAATTGCGTGCCCTACAAGACTGTCTCAAGCATTGGAATAAAAATGTTTTTGGTGATGTTTATTCAAAAGTGGAGAAGGTCAGGTTGCTTCTTGCCTAGGTGCAGCTTTCCAATTCATAGATGTCTTATGCTACTGAAGGTTTTGAGGAAGAAATTAAAACTAAACAAAACCTGGTGGAAGCTCTTCAATGTTAGCATACTTTTTGGAGGGAGAAATCTCGGGTTTCTTGGTTAAAAGAGGGGGATAGATGTTTCAAATACTACCGTAATTGTGCAAGGATTAAAGGTGCTAAATCTTTTATTCATGCCCTCTCTATTGATGATGTTTTAGTGAGGAAGAAAGATGAAAGGGGGATTGGGATTTTTTCTTTTGGGAGGTGAAGAACTTGAAAGTGTCGTTTCACCAAACTTTGGGTGGGAAAACGTCGTTCTCCCTTCTTGAAGATCACATGAAACATAGATTATGAAATGTTAGTAAATAATTGTTAATGTTATTATTTGATTATTCTTGAAGATTACATAAACATGCTTACATTACATGCATAAGATTAACCCATAACAAAAACAAAAGTTAAGAAAAGAAGAAACCTCATTATTAAACTACAAACACCGCCACCATCACTTTGAAGGAGCAAAGTTTAACAACTCCTTGGAACGAAGCCACGGCTTTATGACCACAACCGAATCAAACACCTTTCTGTCCCCTCTATGCGTGGTGGCCTCAATCTTCAGATAATACTTGAACCCAGAAACCACCTGCTTTTGGGCCTCAACAACCTCTGAGAAAACTAGATCTCCATAACCATTTATGCCTTGTCGATTGAATTCCTCTACAGAAAACCTCCCAAGATCTTGCACCTCTTTGTTTCTCTTCACGTCCTTCACCTCTCTTTTTCCTCCCACAAAACCCTCATACGCCGTAACAGATACAATGATGCACACCAACACCACACTGAATATCAGAGCCCTCGGTTTCGCCATTTTCTTGTTATTTGATAATCTTTTTGGTAGAGACGTTTGAGGTCATATAGCTTTATAACGGGAGCTGTGGAAAGTGTTTGGACACGCAAATTAAGGTGGCAGCCACGATCGACGTGCCGCGTAATTTTAACAGGAAGGAAATGGACAAAGGATTGCAGCAAGTTTCTGATGGGATTGTCCTTTCTTTTTACAAAGAAATCTGAAATGAGGAGATGGGTGTTCACGGCCATTCTTATCGTCTCGGGTTGTGCTGCTTTGGTGATTGATGTTACGTACTTGAGATTGTGAGAGGACGACACGCACACAATGCAGTTGGACACTTGGACGTCTGCCTCCCTGGATATTGCATGCTGGCAACCCTCAGACTAATTACATCCCATGCCATTATCAAAACAATTTTTTTTTTTTTTTTTTATGTTTTCTAAATAAACTAAGTCTCTTTTTTATTAAATTTTATGTATGGCAATTTGACAAATATCCATTAACTTGTAAAACTGTAAAGTCTGATCACTTATTAACGATTTGCTAACAATATATGGATTTTTATTATTTTATAAACCTTAAAAAGATTTTTGTTATTACATTATACCTCGAGGTCTATTGTAAAACCCCTCCCCAGTCAGGTATCCTCTGAATATCCCTCAATGAGAATCCAGAGAATTCATATTTGGGAAACGAGTTGTATTTAAAAAACTTGTGCAAAAATAATAATAATGTCCGAAACATTACTATAAGATGTACCACATGATCAAAATTTGTACCTTCAAAAATAAAAATAAAAATAAAAACTTAAATTCATTTGGGCATCAATCAATCGAAATATATTAATGTCATTTTCATTCACATGGTGGAAGCTTCAAAAAGGTGTTTTCAAAAACATTTATCATTTACATCAAGATGACAATAAATTATCTCCCCTCACGCATAGCCTTACTGTCTCCAACATCCTTCGCTTTTGAATTACCTGTAAAACATTCAACCATGAAAGGGTGAGCGCTAATCGCTCAGTAAGGAATGATTCATTTAATACTAAGTATGTTATTTAACATTCATTCAAACACATCCATTCACATAACACACGTCTTTAGCATTTAAGTATGGTTCCTTTTCTTTACTAACTCATATATTTTTCATCATTTTCCCCATGGTCATATAAAACATCAAGTGTACACATACAAATAAATATGTAAACATAGTGCACACACATCACATGTCATGATGTAACAACTAAATATCATCTAACATAAGTACAAATCATTGCATAATGTAAATAACATCATAACTCATATAATGCAACTAAATGCATATGAATCATCCAACGTTTAGCCGATCAAACTTTTCTTAGTGTCTTAAGCACTTCATATCATCTATCCTCAAATTCATCTATAGCTCATATCACCAATAGGCGTGCTTATGCGTTATTTAGCATCTAAAGCATATATTCATCTTTCCTTTTATCTAGCTTCAAATTCATCTAGCACTCATATCACTGGGAGGCGTGCCTACATGTTATTTAGCATCTAAAGCATATATTCATCTTTCCTTAATCGGAATATGAGGATATGCTCACGCGTTAATTAGCATCTAAAGCATTTATTCATTTTTCCTCTCATCTAGCCTCAAATTCATCTATGAATTATCAATCCATTGACATTACCTCTTGCTCACATTCATCATCTTGAAACATATATTACATTGCATCTTCATGCCATTTCATAACATTAATCATGCATTCGCATCCATGACCATGTATATCTTTCAAAGATCATCTAACTAATGGATAAACATTAGTACATGGCTTAATTACAACAATACATTAATAATCAATTCATAATCATAAAAATTGATCATGTTAAATCTTAAACTTTAATAACCAGAAGTTTATTCTTCAGGTCATTTTCCATCCATTCTCAAACGAATTGGCTCTTGGCATAAACATAAATGTTATAGGGCTATGTCTTAACTTTCTAATACTTCAAGAATCATCTCATTTAGAGTTTTATAACTCAAGTTATGGTCAAAATACTGAAGCATGTTTAACATAACCCCTAAAATTGTCAATTAGTGAATTTGAAGGTAACTTAATTGAAGCATTGAAGAAGCCATGAAGATAAGGTCCTGTGACACAAATCATTTGCTACAATTAGAATTGACCATCACCTATAGCAAAAAAGCATCTGATGATAGCATCCTAAAGAAAGACGATAATTGTAAAAACCACAAATCAAACAACAAAATCAATCCAAAAATCAACAAAACAGATAGAACAAATATAATTAAAACTACATATCAATATTTGTTTCCTTTGTCACACTAAAATTGAATTTATTTTATGTGTATGATGATAAAATGAATGGTTTGGCAGTAGGTCCATAGTTATACTAATTCATCATATAATATATCAAATTAAAGCCCTATCTTTCTAGTTTCCAAAGATTCAAACTGCTCATCAATTGGATTTTATTGAGCAAGTTATGACTAATTTACTACTGACTTTAGTGAAAATCGAGAAACAGGGGAAACCAAAATGTGTGTGATGATAAAAGGAATGGTTCGACAGTGGAGCTACAGTTATCAAAATTAAGCGTAAATATATCAAATTAAAGCTCTGTCTATCTAAAGGTTCAAACCTCTATCAATTGGATTTTTATTGAGCAAGTTATGGTTAATTTACTATAACTGTTCAGTGGAAATCGAAAGTGTTGATGATAAAAAGAATGGTTCAGAAGTAGAGATAAAGTTATCAAAATTAAGTGTATAATATATCAAATTAAAGCCCTATATCTCTAGTTTTTAAATTTCAAACCTCTCATCAATTGGATTTTATTGAGAAAGTTATGGTCAATTTATACTAGATTGCTCAGTGAAAATCAAAATGTGTATGATGATAAAAGGAATGTGTTGACAGTGGGGCTACAGTTATCCAAATTAGCGTATAATATATATATCAAATTAAAGCCTTGTCTGTCTAGTTTCTAAAGATTCAAACCTCTCATCAATTGGGTTTATCAAGCAAGTTATGGTCAATTTACTACTAATGTTCAGTTGAAACCTAAATGTGTATGATGATAAAATGAATGGTTTACTAAAGTTACATGGTTTAGCATCAAAGATCAGTTGATATTTGTAAATAAATGAAATTAGTTATATTCAGCAACAAACTCTTTCATGGTATAGTATGTAACATAAAAGATATCATCAAAAAGAGATAGAACATTTACAATAAAACTACATATCAATATTTGTTTTCCTTTAAGAATAATAATAATGGTTCGGCATTTATAATTGGTTTACTAAAGCTACATGGTTCGGCAAAAACATCAGATGATATTTGTGATACAATAAATTTTTTTATATTCAACAACAAACTATTTTCGATATATGTATGTAACATAAAAAAATATCAACAAAAGAGATAGACAAATACAATTAAAACTACATATACAATATTTGCTTTCTTTTGTCATCACTAAAATTCAATTGATTTTATGTGTATGATGATAAAATAAATTATTCGGCCATGGTCTATAGTTATCCAAATTCTTCGTATAATATATGAAATTAAAGCTCTATCTTTCTAGTTTCCAAAGATTCAAACCGCTCATCAATTGGGTTTTTATTGAGTAAGTTATGACCAATTTACTACGATGATTTAGTGGAATCGAGAAACAGGGGAAACCGAAATGTGGGTGATGATAAAAGAAATGGTTTGAACATAGGGCTAAATTATCCAAATTAAGTATATAATATATAAAATTAAACCCCTATATGTCTAGTTTCTAAAGATTCAAACCTTCATCAATTGGAATTTTATTGAGCAAGTTATAATTAACTTACTACGATTGTCAGTGGAAACTGCAATGTGTGATGAAAAGGAATAGTTTAGCATGGGGCTACGTCATTCAAATTAAGTGTGGTAATACACAAAATTAAAGGACTGTATGTCTAGTTTCTAAATATTTAAACCTCTCATGAAATGGAGTTTATTGAGCAAGTTATGGTCAATTTACTATTGACTGTTCAATGGAAACCGAAATGTGTGTGATGATAAAAGGGGGGTTCAGAAGCGAATATACAATTATCCAATATGTGTATAATATATCAAATTAAAGCCCTATTTATCTAGTTTCTCAATATTCGAATCTCCCATCAATTGGATTTTTGTTGAGCAAGTTATGGTTAATTTACTATAACTGTTCAATGGAAGTAAAATGTGTGTGTAATGAAAGGGATGGTTCAACAGTGGGGGCTACAATTATCCAAATTAAGCGTATAATATCAAATTAAAGTCCTGTCTATCTAGTTTCTAAATATTCAATCCTCTTATCAATTGGATTTTTATTGAGCAAGTTATGGTCAATTTACTATGATTGTTCAGTGGAAACCAAAATGGGGTGATGATAAAATGAATGGTTTACTTAACCCAAATAAGGGATATCATTTAGGACTGATAAGAAATATTCAAATAACACCTATTAATTGGAAAACAGAATCAGCCAAAATAATTCATTTAACATATATACTGCCACATCAACAGGACATAAACAATAAATCATTCATATAACAAATAAAATACACGAATGTTTTTACATAAAACATGTTCAAAAACAATTGAACTATTTTTACTAATATGGATATGAGGATCATTCTCGATTTGATCTTAGTAAAGTACATGAACATTTCCTTGAAAACAAACATAACAAAAATTAATCGGTCTTATGTTAAGATTTTTTAAGGAAAAAATTATTCATTCATATAAAAAAATTACCTGAAAACGAAATGAACAAAAGTTAATTAATCTTTATATTAAAATTGTAAGGAATACACTTACCGTTCGGCAGACTAACACAATTAATCATTCAAATAGATTGACTGAACAAAAAAAATCATTCAATCAAATAATAACCGTTAAAATAGTTATGAGATATACTTATAATTTCGTATTAAATAGTTAGAAGATATGATTACAGTTCAAAAGAACGAATAAATAAACAGCTCATTTGACAATGTCAATCGGACATCCTGCCTTCATTCCATGCCAATTCATGAATCTTTGACCTGTAAACAATAACAACAACAACAAAAACATAAATAAATAAAAAATCACGATTAATAAAATCATGAAGAACAGTCGTATTACTGACACAACTAACATGACCTATAAACAATTAACAAAAGACCA